TGCTCTAGTACTATAGCCCGCGTACAGTTCGCGCGCTATAGTACTAGAGCAAGCCAACACGGAACTATCGCGAGCGAAAACTTGTTTACCCGCTGCGATCACCTAGATGTCACCATCATCTCACCTGTCATCATTGTCGCCGCCAGCGTCATCGTCAGGGCGACGCCACTCCGCAGCAGTCCCGCTTTGCGTCGTCGCTGCTGCGTCATCAATCGCTGACGATCAGAGGCGACGCACGAAGACGTCAGCCGAATAATATGTCATGCGTGTTTACATACACACACATACACACAGAGGCGCGTTAATAATGCTGCTGCTCTAACGTCGGAGCTTGTGTGTTTGTGTGTGTGCGCGCGGGAGCATTTTTCCTCCCCATACGTGACCCGCAGACCACGTCGTCACGGGCAATGACAGCGAGGAAGGGTGGAGGGAGCTACGGACCAAAACAAAAGTTACGCCGCCGTCACGCGGCAGGCGCGCCGTGTGAAGGCAGGTGAGCGCATAGGCGGGGCCCGGCAGGGCGTGAAACGTTCAATGCCGGAATCCTGTTTCGCGCTCCCGCGGGGTATTTTCCTCTTCATACCAAGGCGGTCACCAACGAGTAAACGCCATCTGATTTCCCGGCAACGGCGCTATCGTAACTGTGTATATATATATAAGCAGTGTTCATCAAGCTGTGAAGACAGCAGTATCACTGGCGCCCACAGGTCTTAAGAATGATCAGTAGAAGCCACAGAAAATTAAATTCTCAGTGCTAATAAAAAGCAAGCGCGACGTAGGCGCGCGAGCTAGGGGGGTCTGGGGGCATCGCCCCCCTGAAAATTTTGAATGCGTAGACGTCTGGAGATGCAATTGAGTGACTCTCTGCCGAGAGAATTTTAGAAACAAAATGCTAGGAACAAAAATTGGTTTAACCAAAATTTACTGGAAGCACTGTGCTTCCAGTGCTTCTATCTGCGGGCGCCACTGAGTATGTGTATGTGTGTGTGTGTGTATATCTATTGTGTATACACTATATGATATTGTTGTATCAATACTACTATATACACTTAGATTTATTTGTGTATTACACTTATCAACTAATATTGTGTATATATAGAATATCTATTGTATATCTATTGTGTATTGTGTGTATCTGTATGTCTGTGTATATTTATTGTGTGTGTGTGTATGTGTATGTGTGTATATCTATTGTGTGTATGTGTATGTGATACTACTATTGTGATCACCTATATATATATTGTGTATCTATACACTATATACACTATATATATTGTGTATACACTATATATATTGTGTATATATAGAATTATTTTATATTCTATTGTATTGACTGTGTAATCTGTACTGTCGTGTATATTTATTGTGTGTGTGTGTATGTGTATGTGTGTATATCTATTGTGTGTATGTGTATGTGTATATCTATTGTGTATACACTATATATATTGTGTATCTATACACTATATACACTATATATATTGTGTATACACTATATATATTGTGTATATATAGAATATCTATTGTATATCTATTGTGTATTGTGTGTATCTGTATGTCTGTGTATATTTAATTGTGTGTATGTGTATGTGTGTGTGTATATCTATTGTGTGTATGTGTGTGTGTATATCTATTGTGTGTATGTGCATGTGTGTATCTATTGTGTGTATGTGCATGTGTATGTGTACATCTATGTGTGTATGTGTATATCTATTGTGTGTATGTGTATATGTGTGTATGTGTATATGGTTGTGTTATCTTATTGTGTGTATGCCATATAATCCTAGTGTGTACATATATTATGATATATGATAATATGTGCACATGCCTAAAGAGCCCGCGCATGTCTATTGTCAACACTCTCCGGATATCCGGCCGTAAGCTTTCAACAGTGGGCGAAGGTGTGCGCGTCGTAGGTAATGTACGTCGGTGTCTGCTACGTCATAGTGTCAAGCATTTCGCTATTGTGCTATGTTACGCAAAGTTATGACCAAGTATGACAGTGATAGAAACAGCACCACAGGAGTAAATCATCACGTGGCTAAAATAAATAGCCCTATATTCACAAATTCACAAGATTCACAATCAAGTGTATAAGATTTCAATAAAGTTCACAATAAATCAATGAATTAATATTGAAGTTTACAATAATTCAATAAAGTTCACAATAAATCAATGAATCAATATTGAAGTGTACAAATCGTCTGCTTGTCTATCCGCCCATCTGTCTTGCCTCTGCTCTCTCCCCGAGTGGTAGTGCCGTGTGTGGCTCAATGCACAACGTGGAAAAAAATAAACGAAGCACATTACATGTGTGCATAGATATATACAACACTATGATGTGTGGCAGTACATGTCCCAGTAAACAGTGCAATGTTGTTTACGACTCACCTGTTCTCTCCCGAGGACAGACGATAGTGGATGGGTGTTGGAATCTCGTCTGCTTGTCTATCCGCCCATCTGTCTTGTCTCTGCTCTCTCCCCGAGTGGTAGTGCCGTGTGTGGATCAATGCACAACGTGGATAAAAATAAACGAAGCACATTACATGTGTGGCAGTATACGTGTGTCGCTTATGTCGAGGGGAAAAAATAAACAAATTGAACAAATTACAATGTGGGGTAGTACCTGTCCCAGAAAACGTATGTATAATATATACGTAATGTATATATATATGCGTAAGAAGGATATGTATAATACTCACCCCGCCCACCCACCACCTCGTTGACTTGACCCACCACCACCCCTTGCCCCGGGCAAGGCTAGGAACTTCTTTCTGCTCGTGGAGTGTCAAGTGGTTCTGTCGTGGAGAAATACCTGGATGACTAGAAACATTGAACAGCAAGAGCAGCAAACAACGAAGCCAAATCACATGGAGTAATACGTAGAATGTAAAATATAATATATGTAAATACCACCTCGTTGACTTGACCCACAATGATACAAGAAATCATAAAAAAGTAATAGTAAGCAAGTGCAGGGTTTGGATCACTCTTAGTCTGACTCCTCTTCCTTGGCCGGTTCAGCATGGTTAGACCATTGCTGACCTCGACCTTAGAATCACAGGAGTACGCAAGCCCCCACACGACGGCAACGTGGTGATCCAGATTGTGGGGGACCTGAAAAAAAACAAAAAAAAATAAGAAAAACACCAAACAATACATACATCTTGATATATCAACCTAATATAAATAAATAAATAAATGAATATATACCTGTTTTGGCGACTTTTTGCTATTGGAAGATTAGGGGTTGCTTGCTGTTGTTGTTGCTTCGTTTCTGTCATCCCATATCTGAATTCTCTTCCTTCCTCTTTGATCACTTGCAAAATCTACTGCTATACGCAGTGTTGATCAGTCTATTTGTCTCTTGGTTGAATTTGCTGTACGTATGTTTACAGTTGGGAGTTTAGAGGTGAGGAATTAAAAGGTGAGGGCGGTGAGGAGGGGTTTAAGGTAGAGTTTAGACGTTATGAGTTTAGAGGCGAGGGGTTGAGAGCTAGGTAAGGGGTTGAGAGGCGAGGAGTTAAACAAGTAACCTCGTAGCCAAAACATGTAACCTCGCGGCCAACCTCGTAACCCTCGTGGCAAAACACAGCCTTGTGGCCAAACACGTAACACGTCTCCCCGTATATCGTGGTTTGTTCTGCAATGGCGATTGCGATGCTACTTGGAACAGAACGAGCATAAATTTGCGCTTTTCTGTGGAATCATACATTTGCAGGTGTGCGTGCGCGCGCCCGTGCATGCATGCAAGTGCAAGCTAGTGCGAGTGCAAGTGCAAACATGCGTGAATGGTACTGGTATCTAAACTTACAAATAACCAAAAGCCATAACACAGTGAAATGTTTATTTAACCTATTGTATACGCTTTATATCTCGCGGTGGTTTAATTTTTGTGAGTCGCGAATAACGAGCCGCAATACGCTAATAACGAGCGGCAATTCGATTAAACGATAATACGAATCGCGAATAAAGAGATAAGACGAAATACGAATTCGCGAATAGAATCTCGAATAAAGAGATTCACCTCATACCCAACCAGCTCTGCTCACGCAATCTGCTCGTAAAGTCGTCAAGTGGTTCTGTCGTGGAGAATGACCTGGATGACTGGGATGACTCATGCAATCAATCTGGGATGACTCGATCACTCTGGAAACATTGAACAACAAGAGCAGCAAACAACGACGCCAACGATAATATTTGATATGTATGATATGTATGTATGTATATATGATATATGATGATGTATATGTATAATGTATTATGTATGTATGTATGTATGTATGTATGTATGATATATGATGATGTATGTTTTAGTAGTTAGTATATTAGAATGTTAGTGTTTTAGTAGTAGTAGTAGTAGTAGTATATATAACGCTAGCATGCACGAATTAAGAAGCGCCACTTACACTAGATCGGGAGTCCAGTAGTACAGTAGTCTCTCTCTCTCTCTTCTGCAGGTAGGCTGCATATCTTACCAAACTACAGGCCATCAGTGCGGGTCCACTCGACGCTCCATAATATCAGCTCCACAATCCTCTCCAGTGCGAGTCTGTCGTCTGACGCTGCTTTCGCTGTTGTGTATGACACCTGTAAACATACGATCTAACCCGTGTTAATTACCGTTACAATATGACAACTGTTATAAATGCTCCCACTTATATACCTTCAGGCCAGCGTGGTTTTGCACACGAATTGTACACGTGGACACGGCGTGGGTCAAACATGGTCGGCGTGTGCACGTGGTCAAAAGCTGAAACCTCTGACCTTCACGCCAGCAAAGGTGACTCCTATTCCTGCCAAGGTGGCAGCAAGCTTCATGTGCACGTGAACACGCCGTTGGGGGGAAAGCTCAGTGAATCTCCCCAAGGTCACCACGCGTGTGTAGGCTGAAGCTGCCAACCTGGACTTGCACGTGACGTCCGCAATCCTAACTACTGGACGTGCCGAGGCTGCGTCAAGCTTTGCGCACACACAGTTGTATGATGTTATCAGGAGCTTATAATATCTCTATATTATACACTTCTGATGAAATGTATATATCCCCCCTCAGACGTGTGTCTAGGTGTGCAGACATTACGACAGAACCCCAGAATCGTTATACATGGAAGGGCACCTTCCCTATGTAAAGGTGTTATATATGCTTACAATTCATTATTTTCCATATTTACAATTCATTATCTTATGTGACTGCTTTATACATATTCTTGATAAGTATATTTCTTTATATGCTATATTTTATTTTCTCACCTATGTATGTTTAGTTTGAAAAACCGTTTTGTTTGTTTTGTTATTTATTTTGATTAGTTTTTCATACATTTAATCATGTCATTGACATAAATTGTAATATATGCCGCTTAAGTTATTCTTTATTAGCCTGTAAATATTCGATTACTGTACTGTACTGATTACTACATATATTTCATTTATATGTTTTGTATATAACTTCATGTCTGCTGCTTGATCTATTTCCAATTATGTTCAATTTTGCTTTTGTTTTATTGTTATCATATACAAACATTTTGTTCAAATATTTCTCATTATGCATCTTATTCTTATGACAGACGCCCTTATACTTAATTAATTTCCCTAAGGGTTGGCTGACTAGATGACCGTATGGTCTTTTCGCCATCTCTTCACTGCACGTTATATATTCTGTTAAAAAATCCTTGTATCTGCTGATATTGAATGTGATAAAATAAACTCTCTTATCTTCTCTTATCTTATCTTATCTTATAGCCTACTTTACTATACGTCTTGCAAATGACTAGCTTGCCATCATCACATCATTAATAATCCTTAGCAATTTACATCCCGTGTTTCCCGTACTGTTTAGCTACGGATCCGGTTTCATATATACCTTCTTTTTTCATTACACTTATTCTCTACTTACTCTCTAGGCATGCCGCGCCCTAAGTTAAATTAATTGCCCTATGTCGGCCCTATATCGGCCCTATGTCATTTCCTTTGGGCGACAGGTCCGCGAACGGGAGAAATCACGAGCGATATTTCGCTTTGTAAGCGCGCTTTTCTCCTCAGTATATATATATTGCTGATAAATAGATAATTAAATATATATTTATGTGCGTATGTGTGTGTGTGTGTGTGTGTGTGTGTGTGTGTGTGTGTGTGTGTGTGTGTGTGTGCGCG